GAAGAAGTAGAAAGGAGTAGAAAAAGGAGTAAAACAGGCAGAGAAAGAGAAGAAATTGTGCGGCAAAATAAAATAAAGAAACAAACGGACGGACGCACTAATGGGATTGGTTTTCGTGGAAGTTTTTTTTTAAGTTTTTTTTTCACTTTTTATTTATTTTATTTTTTTTGTTTTTATTTTGCTGCTACATCGACTCTTATGGGAACATGAACGCGCAAAACAACATTTTGTTTGTTGCATGTTGCAAGTTCTTGCCCTGCAACTTATTGAGGTGTTGAACCAACAAAAATTATCTCAAATTCAAAGAAAAGAAAGCCAACAGATGTACTGGTCAGATATTTTTTTGTAAAGATTTTTTTTTTTGAATTTATGTTTTCGACGAATGGGGCGTATACTCGATATTGATGTTGAAGGCTGGTTGGTTGGTTGGCTGAGAAGAAACGTGATAATCATGGCCAAGAAAAGCACAAAGTTGAAAGTAGAAGAACAAGAAAGAGAGAAGGAAAAAGAGAGATAAAAGAGAAAGGAAAATAAACAAAACCAAGACAGACATAAGCTGATTGCTTCAGTTTGCAATTTACTCGTCCTGCCTCCTGCCCTCCTGAGTTATAGTATACATACATATACATATACATATGTATGTGGCGGAAAGTAAGACTTGATTTCTGATCATATATCAAAGCCTGACCGAAAACCGGAAGTCCCGGCACCAGCTGTACATCTATCTACACTGCTATATAGTATGTGTGTGTGTGTCTGTGTGTGTGAGTGTCCTGTTGATTTCCTGTGCCTTAGCCAGCTGGCTCAAGTGCGTGTGTATATGAGTTCCTGTTCCTGACTCCTGAATAATGTCTCCCCAGTGCTATTGCACTGTATATTGTCAAGAGCAGAGTAAGAAATATTATACATTTTCAAAATACAAATTAAATAAAAATAAATGAAAATGCTAAAGTCTGGGGGATTATTTCTAATTGAAGAAAAAAGAGGTTTTTCTCGACAAGTGCTTTGGTTTTCTTCAAGAACCATTTTCATGAACAATACTTTGCTATTTTTTTTTTATTTAATTTGATTCCAAAATAAGATAAGAGAATGTTTATATTTATGTTTTTGGGAATAAAAATCAGGTGCTTGAGTAAATTTAAGTAATAAAATTCACCACTTAAAAATATATAGAATTTTTAAAAATAAGTCATTATCGAGCTGTTGATGCAAAGAAGTCTTGACCAAAATTAGAATACACTCTGCCAGGACAGAACAACACCCCTTTTATTAAGAGTATATCCGTATAATTCATTCAGAATTGTCTGCAAAAATATTCAAAAAATAAAGAAAATGATGAATTTAATGAACAAGATTAATATTTTTAACAAGAAAGAAAGCAAAACTTGAAATGAAATGTACATCAGATCGCATATAACTGAACGATCGGCTATGCCGCATCTTGTGAGTTTTTAAACAACGAAGGATGAGACTCTACTTCATATTTTCATATAAAGAGGGGCCTACGTCCGAAGATATCATTCTTCAACTGCTAGCCAAGCTTGTTGGCCACTTCCCACAACTAAACCAAAGTCGTTTATTTATTTCACGAATTGGGGCTCCGTTGGGGCTGATCCAAACTCCTTGCAGCGAAAACAATTATTTTCGATTAATTTTTACATCTTTTTTTTGTTTATTTAATTCAAAAGGTAAAAAATAAAAGTGTACAGTTTATTTAATCATTTAATCATCATTTTAGTGCATATTACGATAACATATATTTTCCAATAATGCGCAATTTTCCAAGTCCGTTTTAAAAGGCTTTTTGTTTTCTTCAATCTGTTCTTCGCATGTACATGTATAATGGATCATCTTTATCGAAAGTTGTGAGTTCATCTAGGCTAATAGATTAAAAAATAGAATTAAAAATTATTTCAAGTTTGTTATTATAGAAATGTCCAGCTGGAAATGAAACAAATGGAAATACCAAATTAGAATACACACCTCAAATCACTCATTCCAGGATCGAACCACCAGCCATATCCAAATTCCTTCGCCAAATTACGACCAGGAACTCCATCCTCATCTCGATCGAATGTGGAAAATTTAGAGCCCTGCTTGGGTGTCGCCCAATCGTCGTTTCCAGTACAATTTCCAATACTTTTCACCTTGTACCCTTCGCTCTGGTCGCCCACAACAAAAGTTGGTGCATTTTTTTTCCCTAGTGCCCAATAACAACACTTCATGAGGCTTTCCACTGGTCAGACGGTGCAATCGATTGAGTCCAATAAAGAACTCATTTTTATACTCAGTTCCGACATGGCCGAATCCACGTTCAAAATCTTCATAAGTGCGATTAAATATTTCTGAATTATAGTTTTTGTTATAAACAGCCAACCATCCAGATCCCAGACCATCCAGATTATTCGAATAAGACACACAAACGACATTAAACGGGGGTGAGCCTGGTAGTTGAATTTCGCAGAGGATTTCTGTGGCTATTTCTTGGTCTCGTGGACAAGGATCTGGAAAATCTGAGAAACTTATGTTTTATTTTGGAAATGATTGTTTTCTGCCGACTTTCCTATGGTTTCTGTTTTCGGCGTCGTTTGATTATCAATATTAGGCAGTGGAGTTGTTGGGACCTCTCCATTTTCTACTGCCGACTTTGTTGGGTTATTTTCATGAATTTTTCTATTCTCCAATCTTTACTATTTTTCCCAATTTATCGATGTTTTCGTGGAACTGATTTGTCAAATTTGCAAGTTCACTTTTTTCTTTTAGTTCCCTAATTGCATCTTTTAGTAGTACGATGGCAATGCCAATGGCAATCCCAGTGAAAAGGCCAATGCACTATAGGCCGGATGACCACTTTTTCTGGCCAAAAACCCATTTTTCGAAAGTTCTTATAATTAAGATTTTATGATGTCATTATATTAGTATAATATCAGACATCAATATTATGTAACAGAAATTTTGACAGAGCCACGCTCCGTTAAGTTATCGGCTTTCAAAAACAGCTGTTCGGAGTGTCGTGATCACGTGTGCTTGTTATCGGAAAAAAAAAGTCCATTTAAAGCTAATAAAAAAGGCACTAAACTTAGTAATTTATAAAAATGTTGTTATGGCATCGAAAGGGAGTGATTTGTACTATATGTTTTCGATTCTCAAATGTTGGTTTGTTTGGGATTGTCCCTGTAATTGAGTGTTTTTAACAGAGCTTTTGTGTGTGTTAATCAATAACAAAAACTAATGTTTAGTTAGAGATTTAAACGGTCTTTGAGCTAGTTTGACCTTAATATTTATACTGGGTTGAAGGTAATTCAATTCTTGTTCATATGAATGTAATATTAAAGTGCCCTTTTGCGCACTTTCTGTGTAATTCACTTTTTAAGGTCGCAACCTCAGGCTTGCTAACATGGAGTTTTTCGATGTTTGGAGATCTGCTGCGACCAAATGTGCGAAAGAGAATGCAATATTCGCTAGATACAAAGTTTCTATAGCTGGTTCTGTATTTGAAACCGAGAAAAAGCATGCGAGAAAAAGCAGTCGAAGCAAAAGTTTAAAGGACGTATTCCACAGATCATTATATATACCAGACCCTACAATATCATCGGTTAACCTAGCCAACCGTATCAAACAACAAAACAGATAGCTTCTTCCAAAAGAAGTATTAGAATTGCTCCACAGTCCCTTAAGGAGCGCTGATGATCAGTATCAGTAAAATATTGAAGACGATCCGCTTGAGTTCAGGGAAATGGAACTCGAGACCGAAGAAGATGTTGATTAGGTGCGCATGTGAAACAGTTTAGATTATATTTTACCTTTCAGGCCTTTTTAATAATAATTACTTTAAACGGTTTGGGCGTAGCAATTGTAGAAAACATGTCCATAGTTCCTGCCAGAAAGTGTCGGTGACACGCCTTTTTTTAATACCTAAGCTTATGAAAAACCAAAATAAAAAAACCATACCTTAATATTTTTGTTTTTTTTTAAGTTATATTTATTTTTATCTACTTTTATATAACTTTGGAAGACATAAAATCTAGTTCCGCCCAGAGGTGGCGGTGCCACGCTAATTTTCTAAAAATATGTTCCTTAGCTTACTAAGAACCCAAATCAAAAAACAGAACCCAAATATTTTGTTTCGTTTAGAAGTTATTAATTTTGGCCAGAAAAAGTGGTCATCCGGCCTATAGTGCAATGGCACCACCAATGGCAACACTCACTAGATGACTGGAAATTCCAGGATATAGCACCCTCCTCCTCGTCTGATTTTTGTCCAACCTACCGACTTAACTTTTACGTATACAACATGCATGCATTTTATGAATGTCTAATAAAAAATAATACTTATATACATAAATGTTCGATTTTATATATTCTTGATCAGGATCAAACTCCTGAGTTGATATGAGCATGTCCGTCTGTCTGTCCGTTAAGAGGAATCTTGTCCTTTCAATAATGAAATTTCATTTTATCAGTTCAGATGATTCTGAGTCTAGTTATAGGGTAAACCGCAGAACTCTTTTCTTCGAGACGCCGCCGGATATTGCCTGTATCTCACTTAATTTTAAATATTTTTGAATGAAATTTAAATTTTTAAAAAATTACCCATTTTGCACCAATTTAACTATACCCCCCCTTAAGTCACTTCCCACAACTAAGCCAGAGTCGATTGTTTATTTTTCAAAGACGGAGCCTTGGGGCCGATCCTGAAATGTCTGAAATCCAAAATTTTGGTTTCCGACCTTCTCAAACGTTTTTCAGTTAAATTGGAAATTTTATTAAAAATTCAAGAAATATAAGAGGACAGTCTATCTTATTAAAATAATTACATTTTAATGCATATTTACAATCTTTATTTTCTAAGAATATTTCATTTTCCAAGTCCGTTTTAAAATTCTGTTCGCTTTTTTCAATCTGTTCTTCGGATGAACATGTAAATGGAATACTCATTGGGATGAAAAGGTGCAGAGCTGAAAAAATATAATTTAAAAATGATTTCAATTTAGTTATTTTAGAAATTTCCAGTTAGAGATGAAACTAAAAGAAAACCTAATTAGAATACACACCTCATACCAGGATCGAACCACCAGCCATAGCCATATTCCTTTGCCAAATTACGATCAGGAACTCCATCCTCGTCTCGATCGAAGGTGGAAAATTTTGAATCTTGCTTAGGGCTCATCCATAACCCGTCTCCAAAACAATTACCATTATTTTTCACCCTGTACCCTTCGCTTCGATCGCCCACAACAAAGTTGGGGCATCTGCTACTGCCTGAAAGGGTCCCTAAAAGCACTTCATGACTTCCACTGGTCAGATGGTGCAATCGATTGAGTCCAATAAAGAACTCATTTGCCAACTCAGTTCCTACATCACCAAATCCACGTTCATAATCCTCATACGTGCGATTAAATGTTTGTGAAGTATACATTTTTCTAGAAACATGCAACCATCCAGATCCAATATCCGAATCTGAATAACAAACCGCTTTAAACGGGTCTGAGCCTGGTAGTTTGATTTCGCGGAGGACTATTCTTTCTTTTTGGTTTCGTGGACAAGGATCTGGAAAATCTGAAAAATTCGTTATGTTATTTTGTAAATGACTGGGTTCTGTAGACTTACCTATGGTTTGTGTTTTCGGCGTCGTCTCAATCTTAATATTGGGCAGTGCAGTTGTTGGGACCTCCCCAGTTTCTACTTCCGACTTTGTTGGGTTATTTTCATGAATTTCTCCGTTCTTTACTATTTTTTCCAACTTATCGATGTTTTCGCGGAACTGATTAGTCAACGTTGCAAGTTCACTTTTTTCTTTTAGTTCCCTAATTTCATCTTTTAGGAGGTCGATTTCGTTATTTTTTTGATTTATTAGATTGTCAACTTCCTGCTGCTTCGAATGCAACAGCGCGTATTTAACTTCACTTTCTTTAAGTTGACTCAGCACTTCCAAATGTCTTTTCACCAATTCCGAATAATCCTGTTGGAATTTTATTATCTGGTAATATTTGTCGAGACCTTTTTTCTGCAATTCTGTGTAATCAGCCCTGCACTTTAAGAGCTCGGCATCCTTCTTGTGGCACTTCTCGAAGTACCGCTGTACGTTAATGGTCTCGCACTCGTCTTCGAGGGGATGGCAGGACTGCGGAATTTAAATTTAAATTAATTTTTGAAATAAAAACACTCAAAACGGTTATTACTTCGTCCGATCCCACGGAGGCAGAAATTAGAAAAATCGCAGAAAGGAGGGCCACTGGGAAGATCATTTTTTTTTATTTAACTACTACTGAAAGAGTCTCTGGAAATATTACAACTGATGCTGCGAGTCTTGGAGCTCCGGCTTTTTAAAGCCATTCTCGGCCTCAGCTTGAGCTTGAAACTGAGCTTCAGAGTTTCTGATAAGGAATTGGGAAATGCCAAAATATTCCACAGACAGAACGCGTACGGAAGTGATGTCAGAGGTTATTGGAGATTAGAATGAGGTGATTAGTAAAAAGACCTGGATTATGTTCTTAACTTCTAATTCTTGATACATATAGAGGCTATATATTTATATATACATATGTACACAAGTATATGGAATATATTATTTTTATACCCCTGCAGAGGGTACTATAATTTTGGTCAAAAGTGTGCAACGCAGTGAAGGAGACATCTCCGACCCTATAAATTATATATATTCTGGATCAGGATCACCTCCTGAGTTGATATGAGCATGTCCGTCTGTCTGTTTCTTTTAGTTAGCTTTCTTTTCTTGTTTCCATAACTTGTTAAATGTTTCTTCAAGTGCACTTCCCCCCTTTTCTTTGTGAGAGCCCCTTTGATGTGGCACTCCTGTTTTTTGTGTCATTTGGCGAGCTCAGCAATTTATAGCATTCAGCTAACATGTGTTTGGCTGTCTGACCCTTCGCCTCCCGTTGCCCCATCACTCCTTGCCACAATTCCTTGCCGCCAAGTGTGTCACATTAAATGATACGCAAAACTTGACACCAAAATGAGCCCCCGACCCGAAAATAGCATGGAGCATGGAGCACGGAGCATGGAAATGCCATTTTTCCGTTCTATTAATGAGAAAATAAAAAAAATCAATGGAAAAGTTGCGTGAATGACTTTAAAGGGTCATATGAGTTAACCCTTTAAGGCTCGACTTGATATGCAAATGAAGGAAGAAGGAAAACGGAAGTTGATTTCAAGTTTGTGATCCCTGGGGGGCGCCAAAATAAAAGTCGGCTAGCAAAGAGGTCGGCAGACAAACAAACAAGTCAAGAGGTGACAGGAAACAGGAATGGCGAAACGTGCTCAAGTTCAGGACGACATATGGTATGCGAGTGTACGACATGTGTGGCAAGTGGCATGTGGCAAGTGTGGGTGGACCAAGTAGGCGCTCCTGTCACTCCACAGCAACGAGTTATGGGATTCAACAAATGCCATTTCCACAGTCCGAAATCACCAGTCAAGCCGTTCAAGTCCTATTCGAATTATTATTGTATTTTTTTTTGTGAGACCGAACGGTAACCGATCCACAAAATCCAAAAATTTCAAACAAAATTTCAAGTCATATTTTGGTTTCAAAATTCAGGCAATAGGTTTCCATTTTTTTTTTTTTTGAGAAATCATGACAAAATCCAAGCTACAAACTCTGCCGAAGACCGATCGTCGCCAGAGACCGTCTCCCGCAAAGTCTGCCCCAAGAGGCCCCAAGAAGAATTCTTCGTTTCGGAAAAGGACAGCAGACGGCATGCCGAGGACCAGCCCGAAGATGCAATCGATGCCAAGTGCCGCGAAGAAGATGCGATCGAAGAAGCCGATGATGAAACACACCGTGATGGCGCTGCGTAGGGACAGGGCTCCCTTGGCCAAGTCGATGGGCAAGTCGGCGGGTAAGCCTCGCAAGAATCGTCCGAAAACCTCCTCGGTGTCGAATAAGCGAGTGATGCGTCGAACGAAATTGATCGATGCCAGTCCCCGGCAGGCGGGGGGACGTGGCACGCCCGTACTCTTTCTGGTCAAGGATGCGCAAGGACATGCGATCGCCGGTACCGGAACCGGTAGCAGCCACCGGAAGACTGTCAAGTCTGCAGAGACCCATAAGCGCCGGAAGGTGTTGAACTATGCCCGCCATCGGATCGATCAGCGATTTATGACGATGCCGGTGTCACGGGCGCACGAGGGCGTTGACTTCTTCTACAATCTCGGCCGGAGAGTCCATCCACCGGCGGCAGCATTCCCAGCCGGCAGGCAGATGAGATTGCAGGGCGGCGCTGGATATGGACATGGCTATATCGGTGGTATGCCTGGCAGAAACGGTGGTGGCGGTGGCGGTGGCGGTGTTATTGGAGGCGTTGGAGGATACGGAGTTAATCTTGGCGGTGGTGGTGTTAATCTAGGTGGTGCCGGTGTCGGTAACTATGGAGGTGGCGGAGCATCTGGCCTCGTTATGGGCAACGGTGGTCATGGTCTGGCATCCATTGCCGGCGGCGTGGCCACCAGTGGTGTCGGCCTCTCTGCCAAAAATGTCGAGGTGCCGCTGACGAATCGCTTGCCCATCATTGACTTTATCTCCACCAACGAGTTCCATAATATGTACGCGCCACGAAAGCAGCGAGCCCGGTCATTCGTCCGTTAACTGGCTAGCCAGGAGATTGCCAGGAGAGAGTGGATTGGAAAATATTTTACAATCGGGCGACAAGGAATGCTGCGGCACAGCTCACATTGTATACTAATCTGATGATGATGATGATGGTTTGTCACAAATTTCTGTGGATAACTCTTTTAAAAGCATAAAAAAAATGGAAATAAAATGATAAAGCAATAGATGTTAGAAATATGCATTTAAAATTAGTCTTTAGATTAAGAATCGTTGGTGTAAAGGGTAAAACCACATCAGCGAGTGTATGATGTACCACTTTTCGTTACTCGTGACTCTTCACTTTGCCTACTCGTTGATACTTAAATATTTTAAAGGAAATTACCACAACATCCAATACAACCAAGTGTTCAAGTTTATAGACTACTCGTTACTGGTAATTGTCTTTTCATCTCGCTGAGAGATTAACCAAAAAAATAAAGTAACTAGTTTATGTACAGAGTTACTAGTAACTATTAACTAGCTTAACTAAGCTACTCGTTACTAGCCATTGTTATATTCAGAATTAAACTAGTTTCTTTAATTAAGGAGTTCTATCAATGGATGGCTTTGAGTTTAAATCGATAACTGACTATTTAAATAAAGACTCTGAAGACCTATTCACTTCATCATTATCCTTAGAATATGCTTACTCGTTGATAAACCGATTTCCAAAGAGAAACGCAGCACAGCAGATATTAGATAGTTACTTAGTCTGGCTGATATGTTTTATTAAAATAATCAATAATAATAATCAAATAAATGAAATAGAAATAATAAAAATAAACAAGCTAACAAAAATTAGCGAGTATAAGTAGTATTAGTGAGAATACTAGTTGTAAAACTAGTAGTTACTCTCTTAAAAATGTAAATCTAGTTACTAGTAAATCTAGTCTAGTTAATCTAGGTATCTACTTTGAAAACTCGCTGATAAAAACTCTTAGACCTTACTTTACTAAGAAGATACTCGTCAAATTTATCCTTAGAATTGGCTTACTCGGTCAGAAAGTATGGTAAATAGCAAACAAAATGAGAGTTTAGCAACTACAAATATTAGGCTTTAATTCCACAAACTCGCAGATATATTTTATATAAAATAATTACAGTAAAAGTCAAACATAAGACTAGTTTTTAATAGGTTTTCCTTGTAGTAGCCACTCGTTACTTGATAGTCTTTCAAACTCGTTGGAGGCTTTGAGCTTAAACCACAAGATGAGTGTTAAATTACTCGACTAATCTAATAGTTACTTTCTTACCTTATTATTCACTATCTTTATCTTCTTAATCTCTACTCTTTACTCTGAAATTAGTCTCGATAGTTTGACAAACTAGTTGATAGATTTGATTTTAAAAAAGCACAGCAGCGAGTGTCAAATGTAAATGAATTCAGTAATCAAAGACCACAATTCGTAACTTTCCGGTCTCCAAAAAAAAAAAACAAACATTGGCATGCAACAACTTTTAAACAAACACGAAACATTTTCATTTCGGTTGCTTTATTTGTTGGACACACCAGAAATATGTATATATATATATATTTATATATGTATTCCCCAAATGAAATTGTTAAACAAGATGGAATGGGTATCTGAATGTGAATGGAATTGAGAATGGCAGTGGGAATTCTCCCGATTTGGAATTTGTGAATTCTGGATTCTGGATTGGAGATTTTTGTGTTTTTTTTTGGGTTTGCATCTGTCGGCAGCGAAGTTTTGCGCAAATTATCTGCGTTGCGTTTATTTCGCGCAAACAAATCGCAAAAGTTTTGCAGACGGCGACCCAGCGACTTGAACGGGTCGGCCGGTCGGCCTCTCCTTGCTCTTCAACATCGCCTCTTGATTTCGCCTCCAAAAAGTCCCCGTTTTCCTACATACCCTTTTGACCCCCGCAATCTCATCATCAGCGGTGCAGTTGTAAAACTTTTCGAAAACTTTTCTCCAAGAATGGTTAGAGGAGGAGGGGGAGGCCAGAAATCCTTGCCCCCGGCATCTTTTCGGGGCATCTTGCAGCAATTTACGGGTTCCCCAGTCGAAAACTTGAAGGAGGTGCTATGCAAGGAGATGGAAAGCCAGGCAATTGATGCAATGGTGGAAATGGTTTTCTTAAAAAGGGAGGTTTGGTTCAACATTGTTGTTGCTGCTTTTGGGGGCCATTCTTGCAGCGAGAGGTTTTCGGGCTTGTTTTCATTTTCGCCGCTCGAGAATTTGCATTTCGGAGGAGAACCAGCAAGCAGCAGGCAGTTTAAGACGACCAGCCCGAAACGGTCGTCTGAGGACGATTGCTGCGGCTTTTAACCGCAAACCGAACGGAAATTGAGATTCATTTAATTCATTGTGCGCCAAGTTGGATTTCTGGAATGGCAAAGGGTTAAGCCCGCCTAAGTACACTGTGGAAAATAAGAGGTTTTCAGAGGTCTTAAAATATAGAGCTTGAAAAATATTCTCTCTAGAATTTATTTTAAAATATAATTTTAAAATAAAATAACAATGATTTTTTTATATTTAAATATTTAAATGGGAATATTTAAATGGGATTTAAATATAAATAGCTATTTTAAATAGGAATAGCTTCACATATATCACGTGCTCAAGAAAGTTCTCCTAGAATATCTTTGGTTTTTTAAATAGAGCTTTAGAATAAGGGTTTTAATATTTGTAACTAATGTTTATTTATTTAAAAATTGAATAAGATTTTTAAAAAGTAACCTATAACTTTTAAATTTTGGTATTTTTTAGTAGAAATTTTCTTAGAACATTTTTCTTAAAATGAGAGTTAACATAATTATAGTATGTAAGCTATTTCAGTTTAAAAATTACAAGCTTTTATTTGGGATAAGATGTTTAGCTTAAATATTAAATCTTAAATATTTAGTCTGCTTAAAATTAATTGTAGAATAAAGTTCTCAAAACTTATGTAATCTCCTTCTGATCTAAAAACTAAGGTTTTAATTACAAAATGTAAGGTATTTTTTTAGAGAGTTTACAGAGCTTTAAACTCTTTAAAAAATATCAATCATACGCCTCGTAAACCAACTTTAAGCCCTATTCCCAAAAACTAAAAAAAAAGAATATTACAAATTTTCGTACAGTGCTTGAAAAACTTGGTTGACAAGCATAATCAGCAGGAACAGGAGCAGGAACAGGAACAGGACCAAGACCAAGACCAGAAACGCTTTCTGGAAAAAGAAAGTAAGAAATGGGGTGGCGAGAAGAGAGAGAAGGAGCCTTCCGAGGATCTGAAACCACAACGACCCACAACATTTAAATGACTGCAGAGACGTCAACGGCAACGCCTTTGCTAATATTTATGCCTCGGGCTTTATAATCGTGGCCAGACTGTATAATTCAGGGTGGGGCTAGAGAGGAGGGATGTCCTGGAGGGCAAGGATTAGCCAAACGAATCCAAAGGGCAGTAGAGGGAGAGGGTAGTGCGGTAGTGGCTGAGGTGGTGACTGAATAAGCAGCAGTGTCCGCCCGAAAGAACATGGCTGAAAGCGCACTTTTTGGCCAGCCGGAAAAAAATCCTTGATTGCATTCAAGTCCTGCATTCAGGGAAGGTGGGGAAGGGCAGAAGAACCTTAAATAACAGAGAGGGAGGGGGTGAGGTGAGGCAGGCTACCGTCGAAGATGCCAATTGGAATTGAAGAAGAGCCTTTGTGCGGTTAAGTGAGCCTGAACAAAATTGGCCGAGGTGGGCGGAAGAGGGGATTAGATGAAGTTTTCACCACAAAGAAGGGGCTATAATATTATTCAATAAATTCGGTTTAAGGATAATGATCCAGGAAGCGGGTAAACAAGTTGAAGCGAAAATTATCTCGTAAAAGTTTTGACAAAAAAAAAATCTTCCATTTTCTAACAAACTGCATCAAAATGTTGTAGACAGCTACGGAGGCTTAAGAGCTATATCCTGGGCTAGATACTTTCATACGATATTTTAGCAAAATAGCATGAAAGATAAATTGTCTATAGATTTTTTTTTTGTTAATATTGGCTATATTTTGGGAGCCATATTTTGGGTATTATATATCCAAATCTTCAGTAAAACATAGGAAAGTGCTTATCGATAAGTTCGATAAGCTATGGAAATAAAAGATTTAAGCATCATTCTTGCTAGACTTTTTCTAGAGGAAAAGCCCTTTTTGAAATGGTATGAGAAAGCAGGGGATAGAGACAAATGTTTTAATAGAAGACTCTATCTTTTTATCCCATTTAAAAGGGAATCAAGTCAAGGATTTATCGATACTTTATCGATATTCTTTTATGATATGCATATAAAACATAACACATAAATTATAATATACTTTTTCTGAAGGAGCTCTTTAAATACCATTAGAAGACAGGGGACAAAAAGATATTATTATTTGAAGACACTATCTTTGCATCCCATTTCAAGGAGAATATCGCTTAAGACTTATCGATAAATTATCAACACTCGTTCCTGATTTACACACAAATTTTGAAAGATAACAATCGATAAACTTTTTTATAATCTTTCTAGAAAACTTTTTTTTTTTAATAAGAACTTAATAGAGAAAAATAAAAATTTTAAGAGATAAAACTTTTTCTCATTTTCTCTATTCTTTTATTTTCTTTAATAATTTATTATTAATTTTTTTTCGTATTTCTCCTTAAGCAATTCTCTCAATTCGCAATAAAAGAAATCTCTCGCCCCTAGAGTGTCACTCCTGTTTCCTATGCATTTAAATTGTGTGGCGAGTAAATTTGGTTTTCGCACGATTTCGTTTCGGATTTCGCATAAATTAATCATTGGCTTGCTCCAAATTTGTGCGGTCAGAGTGGGCAGGACCAGGGACCAAGTACCAAGGACCAAGGACCAGGGACCAGAGGGGGGCGTTGGGAAAAGGGGTAGCTGTGAGTGGGCGTACGAGGGGGGTTTTCGTTTGTCGTCTTGGATTTCATTGGGCATGAAAATGGAATGCACTGAAAAAAATAGAGACAATAGAATAATGATAAGTAGTTTTTATAATAAATTTTTAAAATATATGCCTATTTTTTCAAGATTGATAGTGATGGCTATAGGTATGTGTAGAAAGAGAGAGTAAGAGAGTCTATATTCTTGGAAATAAATTCAAAAATCCAATTTAATTTACGGCAAATTGAGAAACCAATTATGCAGAATTCAAGTGACACTCGTTAC